AACTGTAATTGTTGTTTCTTCACTTAGAAAAGCTAATTAGAAAGTTAACCATGAAAACAGGAAAATACATTTCCAATTCCTTTATCTTTAATATTTTACTGATAAATGGACTTTTTCTTTCCAAATTAATGGCTGCACTTATACATAAACAATACTTTCTAAGGTATATTAGGATTTTTGTTGTTGTTTTTCATTTTGGTCTTTTTGAGACAGGGTCTTCCTGTAGCTCCAAGTGGCCTGGAACTCACTATGTAGACCAGGCTGGCCTTGAACTCACAGAGATCTGCCTGCCTCTGCCTCCCAAGTGCTGGGATTAAAGGTGTGTGCCACCACACCTGGCAGGTATATTAGTTTTTAAAAATATATTTAGCTTAATTTAAAATAGCCTTTTCTTGCTTATGAAACAATAGCAACAAAAGATGCCATTCTTTTGTGCAGGACAAAAAAAATTTTTTAAAGGCAAAACCAAATATGTAACCTAATAAAGTTTTCAGTGTATTAATAAAAATTTACAGTTATAAAAATAAGACTTCACTATACAAAGGGTTTTACAATTCTGTAACTCCTCCCACCCTATACACACATACCTTAAGTTAAAACTATTTTCTTTCCTAGAGAATGGCTATCTAATGAGTTATCACTATGTATAATGGGGTGAAAAATACAGCAAGGAGCTAAAAACACAGTTGTACACATATACAGATGAAGATAGTACAGGAAACGGTACAGATACTGAATTCAACAGCTGGTCTGAAACTTAGAAGCTTGAAAAAGTCCTCAATTCCTTTCTCCAATGGCAGCCTGGTCTCATGGCTAATATAATGTGGCTGCATCTTTACAGTGCATTGCACAATACTTAATGAAAAGGAAAACATGGCTCTTAAGTAGTTTTCTTTTGCTTTTAGAACAATAGAGCTATCAGGAGCTAGAGAGATTGCTCAGTGGTTAGAAGCACTGGCTGCTCTTGTAGAGGACCTGGGTTCAGTTCCCAGCATCTACATGGTGACTACTATCCATAAACTCCAGTTCCAGGGGATCCAAAGCCCTCTTCTGACCTCCACAAGCATTGCACGACATGGATGCACTTAAACATACATGCAAGCAAAATACTCATACACACAGAAATAAATAAATAATTTTGGGTTTTTTAAGTCAGTTACTTAAAAAGGAAACATTGGATGTTTATAAGGATATACAACTATATTTACTAGACACTGTAATAATTAGGACTTAGAACTAAATTATCAAATTTCTTAAATCTCTTAGAAATTTAATTCTACAATATAGAAAACTTACACCATAAAATACTCTGCAGTCACTTGCTATGTTGCTCCCTCAAGTCACTGGGTTAGTTTCTACAAGGATCTCAAGGATAGAGAAGGGGGGAAGTTGGTGGAAGTATTCAACTATGAATTTCACTTTTACTGATTTTAATTATCTGACAAAGGATTCTGCCTTTTTTTCCTTTGAGACAGGGTCTTGCTATGTAACCCTGGTTTGCCTAGAACTTTGTATGTAGATAGACTGGCCTCAAAGGCATCTACTATTTTTAAAGAAGTTTGAAAGCTATGAAGAATAATTAATAATATATCAAAAGACATTTCTAAAATATTTCAAGTAAAAAATTAACTACAAATATACAAAGTATGAATTAAAAATACAATCTTTTGAGTAATTACCTATACTCAGCAATGTTGTAACAGTTTTATATACACTGTAATTTAAATCTCACAAAAGCCAATTATCATCACCGGGTGTGGTGGCGCACGCCTGTAGTCCCAGCACTTGGGAGGCAGAGGCAGGCGAATCTCTGTGAGTTTAAGGCCAGCCTGGTCTACATAGTGAGTTCCAGGACAGCTGGGGCTTATAGGGAGACCCTGCTTCAAAAAAGACAAAAAAAAAAAACACAAAAAAAACCCAATTATCATTATGTCCATTTTTCCCTGAGACTCCAAATAAATAACCTAACAATAACCTGCTAATATGTTTGGCCTTATAATAAATGTTAATTTACTGACTGCCTCTGCCAAATACTTATGCAGTAAGAAAATAATGAAAGAACTTATATTAAAATGTTAGCATAGTTATCTTTAGTAATATACAATAGAAATTTAGAATTTCCCTGTTTTCTATATTTTCGAAAATTTCCAACATGATTAGGAGGAAAAAAACCCCAAGTTTTCTAATTAGAGAAAAAAAGACATATTGCTAAGATTTAGTAATTCTTATATTACTTAAGTAATAACGATCTCTTTGTCAGCTTATACCTAATCATTCGTTTCACTTTCACTAAGTCAGCTCAATGGGATAGGGAATGAAAGAGGTCATCATTTCCACATGTTACCGAACAGTTCCTAACTATGTACCACGTGACAAGCTTCATATAAAATACCATGAACATGAAATGGGCTAATGTACAGTCCAACAGGGGGAACAGACACTAAGTCTATACAATGTAATATGTCCACTAACAGAAATACAAGCAAAATATATGGGAGTATGCAAGACAGTGATAAAATCTGCTGTGGGAGTAAACAAAGGCAGCTTTACCTAGGTATTGATGTGTAACTGGGTGCTAAGGAAAGAGGCCACTTTTGCTTTAGAGAAAACTGAGAGGCACTTCAAACAGAAGTACAGTAAGAAAGCATGGATGTATAAAAGAGTATGATCTAGCTCAGGATAGAATGTGTGTTTATCACGCATAAGGCCCCAGGGTCAATTCAACCACCCTTGCCTCCCAAAAGAAGAAAAGAAAGAAGAAAAAAGAGCAGGAATGTTCTGAGAATGTTGGAAAGCTTTGAGTAGCTGGAATCTAGGCTCGAAAAGCGGAAAGGGGATAGCTGGTATGGTAACACAGGCTACTGAGGCAATCCTTATGGAGTATCTTCAACATTCAGCTAACATGCACAACCAAAGGATTACAAGATACCCTGGAGAGATTTATCAGTATCAGACTTTTAGAAATCAAAGTGTAGCAATGATACAGAAATGAATATGGAAAATGAAGCACAACAGAACACACTGGAGGACAAGGGGCTGGTTTAGGACAAACTCACTGAATAGAGAACACAGACTTTTCTGTCATCTGATGATTTCTGAAGACCAGTCAGCAGTCCCCATTCCATATGTACTTTTATGTCAACTAACTTATGGAGACTCCTATGTATAAAACAAAGCTAGAGTAAATGCCCCTAGGGAATCTCCTGGCAATGAATTTCTATGGCCTAAAACATACTACTTTTTTTCCTTAATATTTAACTTGAGGCAGAATTATATGAAACTTGCTTCTTTGAGTCAATGAGCACTGACTGGTTTTTGTATAGCATGCCAACTTTCCTAGGAAATCTCTCTCCTCTTGGGCTCTGCTGGTTATGATTTTGAGGTTGTAAGGGAAAGAGTTACATAAGTACGGATGCGGAAACTTCCCATTCTTTAAAGACTTCAGAAAAGAGTATTTAAGCCAGGCATGGTGTCACACGTCTTTAGTCCCAGCACTCGGGAGGCAGAGGCAGGTGGATCTCTGTAAGTTCAAGGCCAGCCTGGTCTACATAGTGAGTTCCAGGCCAGCTGGGGCTACAGGGAGACCCTGTATCAAAAAGACCAAAAAAACCAAAACAAAAACAAAACAAGAGCACTTAATGATACAGGGGCATTCAGAAAAAAATACAACTTAAAACGATTATAATTTTTAAAAAGCTGAATACATACTATTTCATTAATCCCACTCAGTTTGCCTGAAGTAAGCTTTGGTCTGGAAGCAGGTCTTGGAGGCGGGACAATGGTGCCTACAGAAAGAGGAGTTGTGGGCCTGGCTGGTAGGAAAGAAAAGAGAGTTTGAAGAAAATCAAGAGTATGTAACAATCCTTACATAAAATACTCTATAATAAAAGACTATTAGGGTTCAAAATTCATTTTTCAGAGGTTTTAAATGTAATTACAGGTATTTGCTAAAATACTGGAAGTCTATCCATCAAATATCCTTTTATTAAAGATACTAATATTCTTGAAGATAATCATTAGACCTTGCCAAAAAAAACCTGATGTGTGCAAAAGTCATTCCTCTTTCAATTATTTATACATATAAAAATTAGGGGCTGGAGAGATGGCTCAGCAGTTAAGAACACCGGTTGTTCTTACAGAAGACTTGGGTTTGAATCCCAGGACCCACATGGCAGCTAACAACTGTCTGTAACTCCAGTCCCGGGGGATCCGACAGCCTCTTCTGACCTCTGCAGGCATTGCATGACACGGGTGCACTTACCTACATGCAGGCGATACATGCATACACATAAAATAAAAGCAGTAAATAAAATTCTTTAAAAAATTAAATCTGAGGGCTGGAGAGATGGCTCAGTGGTTAAGAACACTGACTGCTCTTGCAGAGGACCTGGGTTCAATTCCCAGCACCCACATGGCGGCTACGAACCGTCCTTAACTCCAGTTCCAGGGGAATCCGAAGTCCTCTTCTGACCTCCGCGGCATTGCACGACATGGGTACGCTCTCATACATGCAGGCAATACACTCGTATGCATAAAATAAAAATAATAAATAAAATATTTTTAAAAAAAATTAAATCTGACAGGTCAGTTGATGAAAATAACTTAAGCTGAAAGGTCTTTAGCTTATTACCAACACATCTACTTTACAGAAAATAGAGACCAGGGCTTTGCAGCTGTGCCTTCAGAATAAGCCTGTACACTCCAAATAAAACACTTTACCTTAAATAAACTTTGTAATCTGACTTAAGTTGAATGACATTTTAATAGTTATAGGAATGATTAAAAGCATTAAAAATATTTTATTAGTTTGCCAAAAGTATTACCCCCAAGTAAGTAAAACCCATTTTCTGAATGTTCATAATACCTTAACTTTGATTAAATCCTGTATGAATTTAGTGTTGTTTTTCAATGCCAATTGCCACATT